AAAATTTTGCTCTGCAAAATTAAAAAAAAAATAAATAATTAAAAAAAAATAAATAATTAAAAAAAAATAAATAATTAAAAAAAAATAAATAATTAAAAATAAATAAATTAAGAATAAAATAAAATAATTTTAACAAGAAAAAATAAAATTAATTGAAAAAAAATAAAGAAACTAAAATATTCCTATAAGATAATAAAAATTTTTAAAATATATTAAAATAATAAAATAATCAAAAATAAAATAAAATAAAATAAAATAATTTAATTAATTTGAATAAAAAGAAATTATACTTAGTACCAGTTCACTACTATAACTCATCAGTAGATTAACTATCAACTAGCAGATATTGAATTTACAACAACTAGTCTCATAGTTTCAAATTTATACCACTTTACTAAAGCAAATACATAATAAAATTTTTATATATACTTCTTTAAGAATGTCTAAATTTGTTAACAAATAACTAATAAAATTAAAGATTTTTATATGTTTAAAATTAAGGTTTGTTTAATTTAAGAGGTAAATTTAAAGTACATTAACTTTAAATTATTTCAAAAATTAAATTTACTAACTAAAGAAAATAGATAAGAGAAAGTATAATTATCAGCATAGAAGAAAGAGATCACTAAATAGAAGTATTAAGAGATATAATTATAATAAAAATAAAGAAAAATAAAAATAAAAATATATTAAAAATAAAACTTTAACTTTAAAATTAAAAAAAAAAAAAAAAAAAAAAAGAAAAAGAAATAAAAAAGAGAGATACAGAGATTAGATTTTGAAACAAGAGATAGATGAATTAAAAGAGAGAGAAAAGTGAAAATACAAAGAGAAAAGGTTTAGAAAAAAAAAAAAAGAGAAAGAAAAAGAAAAAGGAAAAGAAAAGAAGTTGCTATTTATTTTAATAGAGAAGTATAAAGAGGCAATATAGTTTAGATTAAAAAATAATAAAAGAAGATGTGATAAAGTAGATTGCAAAAATAAGAAGTTATAGAGTAATTTGAGAAAGAAGGAGCTTATGAATATAGAGTTACTTGAGAAGACTGATAAATTGAAAAGGAATATAATAGAGAGTTTAGAAAAACAAGTAGAAAGAATATTACTAGATATTGATGAGAAGAAGGTAGAGTTAGAAAGTAATTTGAAGTTGGCAAGTAGAGAAATTAGAAGGTTAGAGCAAGAAAATGAAAAATTAAAGAAAAGATAAAATGAGTAGTTCAGTGAAGAAAATACAGAAAGAGATAAGGAAGAAGATGAGTGAAATAAAAAGATTAAAGAGTTAGAAAAGAAAATTAAGGAGTATGAATATTTTTTAGAAGTAAAAGGAGTTAATATAGTTTATGAGATGATGATAAGTTATAAAAATAGCATAAAGAAAAAAGAGAATCAATTAGATCATGTACAAAAAAAATTTAATAGGTATAAAGTTTATCAAAAGAGAGAAAAGAAGAAATTAAGAGATAGAATAGAAGAGTTAGAAGATGAAATTTGTAGAATACAATTAGGATTGTTGTAAATATTTTGGAATTTTTTTTTTTTTTTTTTTTTAATAAACTAAGATTTTTAAACTAAAATTTGATCAAATTGAGTTTGTTTTAGTTTTTCAATAAGTTGAGTACTAATAAATTTTGCTTTATAAAGTTGTTACAAACCAAATTTTGTATAAATTTAGTATATCCAAAATGAATATCTCCAAATTTTTGCAGATTTGAATTTGTTAAATTTTACTGTCAGTTTATTTCTTATTTTTCAAATAAACTTATTATTGAATTAGTTTTTAGTCTTTAGTTCACCAAGGTAGTAGGCTATTTTTAATCTTTGTTTGTTAATACCTTTATATTTTTCAAGTTGTTCAATTTTATAGAAAATATTTTTGAAAGTTTTATAATCTTTGTAGGCTTCAAAAAGTGAAATAAATTCAGTATTGTTGTCAACTTCATGTTGTAAATCTCTTTTGATTCTATCAGTTATTAATAGTTTATCATTTTTATCAGAGGAGCTTTCAGAACTATTTTCAAAGATTTCATTCATATTTAAATTTTGCTGTTTATTAGATATTTTATTTTGAGTGGTTTTATATTGTAAACTCAAAGACATATTTTCATTATTAGTTTCTAAATTATTCAAAGCTTCATTAGTACTTTCTATAAAGATATCCTAATTATCTAAGAAATTTTGTAAAGGATTATAAATTTCATTAATATTTAAAACATTAATTTCATCTCAAAAATTACTTATGATATAATAATATGAATATTAAGATTAAAGAAAATTAGTTAGAAAAATAAGAAAGTTTTTAAAGGAAGAAGAATAATATAGTTTTTAAAGTATAGGATTTTTGTAAGTTTTTGAGAGATATAGACTATATTTATAAAAATTTAAGGAATACAATCTACTAATTATTATTAGTTTGTGATATGATAATTTGTAGTACAAGTAGGTCACTAATTAGTTAATCAAAATATAATTTTAACCTATTCCTATATACAGAATTCTTAATCTTTTTATTCTCAAATGTTCGAAGTTTAAAAACTCCTAATAGTAAAATATCATGAATGATATATAGTCCTATAAATTGTTCTTCTAATTTTGCTAAGAAAATATTTTTAAGTTGAGATTTCACAACTAAAACTTTGTCACCTATTTTTAGTTTGTTAATTTTAATATTTTTGTCATATTTTTCCTTTTAAATAATTTAAGCTTCCTATATATTATTGAGAACTTTATATTGTTGTTTTAAGAGAATATCTTTAATTTCAAATATTTATTTAATTAGAGCTATTTCAATTTACTATCATCATATCATCATAATAAGTTTCAACTATTATTTTAATAGATTGTTTAGCTTTCCTTCTATATACTATTGTTTAGTTAAAATATTCAACTATTCTATTAGTTTGAGGTCAGTAAGCAGATGATTTATGATATTTAATCTGAAATTTTTGATATAAGTGTTGTATAACTTCACTTATAAAATTAGATTCTTAATTAAATTGTAGAATTGTAGGTATTCTATGCTAACAGATTATTTCTTCATAAATAAAATTAGCAATAGTAGTGGCTTTAATATCACTTACTACTTTAGCTTCAGGCTATTTAGTTAAGTAATTTATAGCAACTATAATATGCTAGTTGCCTTGTTTAGTGACTAGTAATGATCCTTTAATATCTATTCTAATCCTATATAATAAAGCTTTTATTTGAATAAGAATTAGATCCTATCTAATAATTTTATATTCACTATATTGGTATATATCACAGATTTGAATATATTGTTTAATATTATTATATATATTAGGCCAAAAATATCATTTCTTGATTTTGTTATAAGTTAAGCCAATTTCTAGATGAGTTTTTATTCATCATGTAGAGAATAGAATATTAAATATTTTTAATTAGGTTTAATTACATGTTGAGGTTTGTCTTTATTTTTTTTAAATAAAATATTGTTTTTGATAAAATAATTTTTAACTTCTTTTTGTAAGTAGGATTTTTCTAAATTAGAGTAGTCCACTTGGTATTCAAGAGTTGTAAAAAAATTATAAATTGTTTGATATAGTTGTTTATCTATTATTTTTTAAATATTCAGATAGATGTGAAAAGAAATTAGTATTATTATTCTGTTTACCAGTATAATATTTTATATCATATTGGTATTCCTGTAGAGTTAACTGCTATTGAGTTATCTTTTTGTTATTATTAATTATATATAAGTTTAGTAGCTATTATAATGCTTTGTGATCAGTTATTAGAGTAAATCTCATTCCAAAAATATAATATTAAAAATATTTTACTGCTCATATTACTACTAAATATTCTAATTCAACAGTACTATAGTTAGTTTCAGCTTTTGATAATGTTCTACTTGCATATGCAATTGCATATTTCTTATTATCCTTGATCTGAGATAATACTGCATCTAAGTCTTGTTAAGATGCATCTGTAAAGAGAATAAATAGTTTATTATAGTTAGAATATTGCAAAATAGATAGTGTAATTAAACTTTGTTTTAGCTAGTTAAATATATTATCACATTTCTTAGTCTATTTAAATTCTACATCCTTTTGTAATAATTTGTTTAGTAGAGCTACCTTTTTAGAAAACTCTTCAATAAACCTTCAATAGTATAATACTAGTTCAATAAATATATATAGTTGTATTAGGTTTTTGGGAGAAGATAAATTTTTAAGTTTGTCAACCTTTTGAGAGTCAGGTTTAATTCCTTCACTTTCTATTATATGTCTTAAAAATTATATTTTATTTGTACAGAAATAATATTTTTTAGGATTAACTCTTAAGTTTGCTGCTTTGATTAAGTTAAAAACCTTATTCAAATGTTAGATATGCTGTTCAAATGATTCAGAATATATATTCACATCATCAATATATACTATAGCATATTTTCAAAGTACTAGTTCAAGAACTCTATCCATTAATCTTTAAAATATAGAAGGTATATTACAAAGTCTAAAAGACATTACATTAAATTCATAAAGCCCAAATTTTGTAATGAATGCTGTTTTTTCCTTATCTTCCTCTTTGACTTCAACATGCTAATATTCAAAAGTCAAATCAAGAGAAGTAAACCATTTTGCTTTGTTTAAGTTATCTAATATTTTATCAATTCTGAATAAAAGGTAAATATTCCTTTTAGTTATAGAGTTTAGTTTCCTATAATCAATACTAAACTAAAGTTTTCTATTTTTCTTTTTAATGAGTACAAATAGAGAACTCTAAGAACTTATTGATTTTTGAATTATTCTATTCTCTAGTATTTTGTTAATTTTCTCTTTAATATGTTGTTGTTCATTTGAAGCAGCTTGATAAAATTATTGTTTAATAGAATAATTATTTATTTTTTTTTAATTATTTATTTTTTTTTAATTATTTATTTTTTTTTTAATTTTGCAGAGCAAAATTTT